GGAGGCGAGCCTTGGTGCTGCAGGCCTTGGTTGTGATAGGCTGCGGTCTTTGGCACCTGAAGGTGGGGAGGGCGAGAGCCCCGGACAGCCCGCACCAGAGCGACCACTTGGTCGGGGAGGGACGGGCATGAGCTCCAGAGGCACTGGGGACAGGGCTCCCGGATCTAAGGCCGAGGATGCGGGTTCGAGGAGCCGGGAGGACCCTGAACGCTCAGTACTCGGGGCCCAGCCAGCGACGCCCCCTCCCCGGGCTGCTCCCGAGACGGGTTGGCGAGGGCAGCCTTCCCCATCCTGAGTCTGTCCTCAGCGGGGCGACGCTGCGGGTACCGAGAGCCTTGAGGCGCCCGGGGATGGGCACCGAGGCCTGGCTTTGCGGCCATCTGCTGACCATCCTGGAGCCAGCGTGTCGCCTCGGCTCACCTGGCAGTCACCTTTCATCTGAAATATTCCCTGCCTGTGTTTCCTTCTATGAAGGCCAGTGGTTTTGCGGAATGGTTTACACCTGAGAATTCCAGGGTCGTTTCCTCATGGTTATCATACTCCGGTGAAACGTTTGGTTAACGTGTGTCCCCAGTGTTTTACATCGGGAGGCCCCCAGCGTCAGCTGGGCTCATGGTTGATGTGAAGTGTGATTACTTCAATCGAAAGCCCCAGTCTCCCTTGGATCCACTCTAGTCACATTTTATTCCCTCTACTCCACCAAAACCGTTCTTACCAAGATCACCAGTTACCTCCACATTGCCAAATCCAGTGGTAAATGCTGGCACCTGGCTCCACTCGACCTCCTGGTATTTGACAGGTGGACTGTGTCCTCTCTTCCTTGGAGCACTGTCTTCCTTTAGCCTCCAGGCACCCCCTCTATGTCCGGCTTTCTTCGTTACCCACTCAGTTTCTTCTGGGTTCTCCCTTGCTCCCCAAACTCTAAATACGAAGAGCCTCAGTTGTGGGGCCTCTTCTCTAAGTTCCTCCCACACCTGCTCCTTTGGGGATCTCATCTGGCTTCTTGGCTTTAAGACCAGGTATTTGCGGATATCTTCTAAATTACTACCTACAGCCCAAACCCATTTCCTAAACCCCAGGCTCAGATCCACAATCCAATGCCTAATCATCTGCATCTTAATGAGTCCCTAACTAAGCTCCTTGTATTCTTGTTTTGCCCCCCCCTCAGTCTTCCTCGTCTCCGAAAATGGCAACTCACCCTTGGAGTTAGCCACTTAGGCCAAAATCCTTGGCACCCTTTACCCTTCTCTTTCTCATATCCACGTCCATCAGCAAGCCCTAACCATCTGCTGCCTTTAAAAGACATCCAGGATGCACCCTGAGGGTGTGTGGCTCAGTGAGTTGGGCATCCCCCTGCGAGGTGAAAGGTTGCTGGCTGGATTCCCAGGCAGGGCACATGCCCGGGTTGTGGGCCAGGTCCCCAGGAGGGGGTGCGCGACAGGCAACTGATGGATGTTTCTCTCCCCTTCTCCCTCACTTCCCCTCGAAGAATAAATAAAATCTTAAAAACCCAGAATGCCACTTCTCACCGCCACCACCCGAGCCACTGTATCATGCCACAATTAGGTTATTTTTCTTCCTGCTCTCCCCTTATTTTCCATAGAGCAGTTGGAGTGATTTTGTTAAAAGGTCAGAGCACTCCACCCTTCTGCTCCGCGGAGGCCTCCTCACTCAGTGTCCTTCCCAGGACTTGTCAGGCCCTGTATGGTCTGGCTCCCCTTCCAGATCAGACTTCCCCCGAACGTCTCTGCTCACTCATCCGCTGCGGCCACTTCTGCCTTCCTGGAGGCAGGATCCTGCCTTCCCCAGGCTTGTCCCCAACGCAAACCCCAGTAGGGCCTGCGATACTCCTCTCTCACACCTGTGATTTGTGCTCATTTTTCTTCAGGTCTTTACTCAAAAAATAACCTCAGGGATGCCTCCTCTGATCTGACTCCCAACATCCATCCACTTTCCATCACACTTGTGATCTGCGTTTTCTGGTCTTGACCACCTTCCACTACCTAATACACTAGGTGTTTCACTTTCTGTCTTGAGTCCCTCACTAGAAGGTAGCTCCATGTGGTCAGGGAACTTGTTCCTGTCTGTATTCTCACAAAGTGCCTGGCACACAGGTGCTCTATACTTGATCTGAATGGAGGAACTCATTCATTCTAATATGAATTCAACCGTTCTTTACAGAGGCGTACCTTGTACCTGTACTGGGGCCATGATGGCACACCCAACAATCCCCTTGTAGCAAGTTCTAGTGGGTGCAGTCAACAAGCAAGTGAACCACTAATTTAATTTTGATAAATACAGGAAAAAGCAAGGGGTGTGACGAAGGGTAGGTGGGCAGTTTGGTTGCAGCTCAGTGAGGGAGGGTGGCAACAGGAAAGATTGGCCAGGCCTGGTGAGCCAGAGTTCAGGTGTTACTCAGCATGCAACAGAAAGCTGTCAGATGTTTTCAAGTGGGGAGGCGACCTGGAATGATTTGTTTTAGGAGCATTTCTCTGGAGGCTGGGTGAGGGGTCAGAGGAAGTGAAGGGATGGAGGCAGCCCTAGGTCATTGCAACAGTGCCGGTAAACAGCAGCTGGGCCTAGGATGCTGCAAGTGGTTACGTGGAGTTTCTGGATGTACTCTTCAGGAGCCAACATTTAATGGAGCTGAGGAAAAGAATATTGAAGGAGCTATCTCAGAGCAAGCAGGTGGTGAAGACTGTTTTCAGATGCAGGTTTTCTTTTCCCCCTTGTTACTGTCGACTCATAACTTCTGTGCTACACCCACCCCAACAAAATTCACGGATGTATTTCACGGCAAGAGCATGGGAATTAAAGAGCAAGGCCCTGGATACAGTCTACCAGGAACAAATTCTGTCTCCTTCTACTGTGACCTCAGCGTTTCTTCTATGAACAGGGTGTGCTAATTGCACCCATTTCATAGGGCTGTTGAGAATTTGAGTTGGAGCAGCCTGTTTTCAGCAGCTAGCAGATCCTAAATATATTCAACTTTGCATTTCCAGTTTCTAGGCTATCCAGATCAGAAGGGCAAGAACGTGGGACATTGTTCAAGTGCTCACCTACCACTCAGCCAAGTGAGAGTCCCCCAATTTGTGTATGACAGTGTTTCCAAATCCTTTCTTGAAGTATTCTTCCAGCTACAGTTAATTCCCAATTTCCCCAAGACCTACCTACCTAAAATGATCTCATCATGTAACTTCATAGGGTTTTTTTTTTTTTTCATTTGTAAGTTAATTTAGACTTTAGGAATATTTTTCTGGAACCTCAACATGTTAGCTGTTTCCATGTTATTTAATATCCAAAAGCTGGCCCTGGCTGGTGTGGCTCAGTGGGTTGAGCACCAGCCTGAAAACCACAGGGTCGCCAGTTCGATCCCCAGTAAGGGCACGTCTGGGTTGCGGGCCTGGTTCCCAGTGGGGGCCATTTGAGAGGCAACCACACATTGATGTTTCTCTCCCTTTCTCCTTCCCTTCCCCTCTAAAATTAAAAAAAATATGTATATCCCAAAGCTGGTTACTTTGTTGAAGATGCTAAAAACCTAAGGAAGTATGCTAGTTCTGTCATCACTCTGGCTGGACCCAACACAAATCCAGTATCTTTTCCCAGGTTGTTACGTAGCAACTCCCAGGCATAGTAGGTTACCAGCCTGCTGAGCATCAGCCCAAGGGAGCCGTGGGGTAGCAGTTCATGCGTCAAAGGGCAGTCCCGAGTTCAAAACTACTATGCATGCTCTGCAGGCCTTGGTCAACTGTAATCCTCCCAGATTAAATTGGCTGGTTTATGAATTGGACTCAGTTGCTGCTGGCTTTATAATGCAAATAAATGTGAAATATTAACAGATCATGGTATATTGAAACAAGCTCAGTACATTTATCAGACATTTATTGAGTGCCAAGTTTTCCATTTTCTGCCAATTTTTTTTCCTACCTGCCCCACTTTGTAATATATGCCTTGTTGCATATCAAAACCTGGACAGTGAGCACCTATTACTCTACACTTGTTTAACAACCTGCATTGTTAGCAATCATTTCATGAAGGGAAAAAAATGTAAATTAAGACCAACTCCAAGCACTCAAATGGTGGTATCTCCCATTTGTAACTTACTGTTCCACAACAGCTTTGAGCAGGTAACTAACTTTACCCACCCTGTTGGAAACACTCACTGTCCATTTCCATGAACAGAACTCCTGTATGGCCCTCGGCCCTGCAGAAAAGAGCACAGGGGACATTTCACTCAACGGACTTTGAATAAAATATGCTCTCACCAATGCTAGTGCCTGCCTGTGTAAGGCACTAGCAAAGGACCACACGAAAGTAATTTTCATAATGATCTCAGATTCTGAAATGACCTAAAACATAAAAATGAAGTTACTGCTGAAGAGTTCAAGACCAGTAAGAACATTTCCAATGTTATATACGTTGACACAGGCCTGTTCTCAGCTCAATGATGTTTAACATTTCACTTCCAGGAGAGCCTCAAAAACTCAAATTTAACCTAGACTAACATTCAGCACTAGAGAGGTGTCACAGATAGGTCTTAAAAGGTTCATTACCCTCACTTCACACTAATTACCCCAAGGCTAAATAAAATAATTACCCCAAGGCTAAATAAAACAGCCCCAATTAACTATTGGTGCTTGATCAATGACTTCAGGGTTAATACGTCTTAAAAACGAAGTCCCTAATGCACTAATTCTTGCACTAAACTTACTATATAGTATGCCTATAAATTTACTTCCACTATTTAAACAGATTTAACTATTTCCATGTGATTCTACTGGCTGGCTAGGTCCAGGAATTATTGGTTTACAATACAACATATCCAAACATTTAAGATAGGGTTTTGGCAAATACACCACTTATACTTTCCCCATCTCACAAAAGTCTTGTTTTTCAGAAATAAAGTGACAAAACACTTGATGCTCCAGCTATTTTGAATGTGGACATTTCAAGTGAAGTACAAGGGTAAGGTAAGGTTGATAATAAAGACCAAAAGCAGGTATAGTTTAATGTATTTTAATAGCAAACTTACAGGAACAGCACAGAAGACAGACAACATTAAAAACATACTTGCATGTAGGACAACTCAGTTAGAAAAGTATAGTGAATGGATGGAATCTACTGTATGATAAAAATGCTACAAACACCATTTAGTTGCCATCAATAAGAAATTTACTTGTTTTAAAAAAATCCAAATGCTGGCATTGTCCAGAAAAATTTAACAGGTTTATTTATATTGTTATAAAGTTGAACTGCTTGAAACTTGTTCACTGAAACACCTTGACTTGCATTAATGCTTTATGTCCCCGCATTTATATTAAAAAAATTCACACACAAATGAAAATGGAAAAACGGCCAATACCTGATTTCTGTCCCCTATTTTCCACTTGCAATCATATACTTAGGTACCTTTTTGACCCCATGGAAAAAAAAAATCTAACGTTCAGAACTACCAATAACAGGAAGAAGAGAATTTTTTTTTAAAGAATGAAACCTTTCCCACCAGCGTGGGTTCTTAAGCACGTTCCCCATGTATGCGGCGTGCTAGCTGGATGTCTTTTGGCATAATCGTTACACGTTTGGCGTGGATAGCGCACAGGTTGGTGTCTTCGAAAAGGCCGACCAGGTAGGCTTCACTCGCCTCCTGCAATAAGAATAAGGAAGAAAAGAATTAAGAGTATCCCCAACAGTTACGATACACCTGTACCAGTTAAAAGGATGAGATTATTGAACTCTTTAAACCTCAAGTATGTAAATCTTTTTCAAATTACACAAAGTCAAATTATTTCATTACTAAAAGTTTAATATTTCTAATATTAATGATTTCTAGCAAACTGAAATGTCTTTAACCAAGAAATCTAAACTCTAGTATCATCACCCTTACAAAGATGAACGCAATCGCGCATCCAATCCAAACACTCTGTCCCCACTGTCTCCTCATTCTGAACCCCAACCACGCTCCAAGACTCGTGTGGACCTCTGCCCTGCCAAATGCAATGTAGCTGACGAGTGGTTTCCATCCTATGGTCTTCATCTACCTTTCCTTTACATTCCAAAATTTAAAAACTCTCTCCTGTGGATTCTAGAGTAGGAAAAGGAGGGTGAGAGGGAGAGAGACATCGATTGGTTGTCATTTGTATGCACCCTGACTGGAGCCAAAACTGCAACCCAGACATACGCTATGCCCTGATTGGGAATCGAACCAGCAACTTTTCAGTTTGCAGGATGTCACCTAACCAACTGAATCAGACTAGCCAGAGATATACCTCAAATTTTATCACAAGAGTATTATAGGTTCCAGAACATGCCTTCTGACCTACTGTGCTCCCCCTCTCCTGCAGTGTGCCTTCCTCTATATACCCTGATCTGCTATGGCATGTTACCCTCTAGTTATTGAGATTGACTCATCAGGTTTTTGTACCGAACTATAAGGTCCTTTGAAGACATCTTAGCCCTACTATCACTCAAAACCTGCTAGTTGGGTGACTCATTCATCAACACTTGGCATATAAAAAAAAAAGGAAAGCTTCTATGTATACCTAACTTTTAAATACATTTTGCAGCTGTCTAAAAGTGGAAGGATCTTTTAAGTTAAAATATTTTAACTCATTTTAAAATGATGGAACTGTTTCAGTGGATTTGGAGCACTAAGTTGAGAGGTGATTTGGCTTTCTACCATTAATTAAAAGTATTTCTCTACGTTCCAGATAGATGTAGAAAAAAGGAAAAAAAAGCAGACTTTGTTATAGTTGCTATTTTGTCCTAATTTAAAAAATTATTTTCATTTTCTAATATTAACATAATGATAAAACTAAAAAACAAAAATATTCGAGCAATTCAAGCCCTGTAATGTTACATTAATACATAAGACACATAGATAGGAATAGCCCAAGTTGCTTTTTAAAATCATGTTGACTAATAAAACCAGAGATTCTGCTTTTAAAAGCATTAACAGAGCAACACTTATTCAAACAATTTACACTTTTTCATCTTATGAAAAAAATCATTCCTTTACCTGCATACCCTTTGTCCAGCATCTCCTATAAAAACCTGTCTCACCCTGATTTTACTATGCCTACGTGTCTTTCTGTAGCATTTACCAAAAGCCAGGTCTTCTGAACTACTCCTTAAGACCTACCTCACGACTGTAACATGCAGGAGAATGCAATCACCCCCTCTGCCCCTGTTCTAGGTGCATGTAACCTTAAACAACTCCTTCCCGGACACTCATTAGTCCTGTACACCAGCCGTCGTTTAATACCCTTCAGTTTCTTAATAGAGATTCCATCTTATACCCATAATGCCTTGTTCAAGTAGATGTTTAATAAACATTTGTTGGTTTGTTTTCACATTTAACCCTAATTTAAATCTGCATCTTTCCTATACAATTAGCCCCTCATACCATACCTATTCCAAAGACTATTAACAGAAAAGTCATTACTATTCAGGGAAGCATTCTTGAGATATTCCTGAAACAGGTAACAAGTCTGGAAAACACGGCATACTGTAGAGCCTACTCTTAGGGGTCTGTAATGCACTTCAGACACTAGGACTGAAGCTCCCCAGGAAAGAACGTTTGCGTCACCTGTTTTATCTCAGGGTTATGCAAACCTAGAATGCTTTCTCAAAATGCAGCAGTGAGCTGCTGTATGGACAAGCCGACAGGCCCCACGACTCTCAAGACCGTTTATTTGTGTGAGAGGGATGACCCACAGGCTCCCCCAACCCCCCACTCCCAAACCTGCTCACCAGCTTTCCAGGGCTCCGCCCAGTCAGCTCTGGGACAGACTCAACACTCATAGGGCACTTGACTGTGACCCGTATGTTTCCAGTTCTACAACCGATGCCCAAAAGACCCCTCCACATTAAGGCTGCAGTGGGAATTAAAGACTGCCGTGTTAACTTAGAGCTAAAGTAACATAACTGAGATGGCAAAGAGTATCTTACAACTCGAAGAAAACACAACATTTGGAATATATCCAATGTCTGACTGACTCTTCCATTTCAACACACATATGTCCGTTTTTAACATAAAAACACCATAATTCAAGCTCTTAGATATTAAAGGCAAAAGCTAACTTTTACGTTAGTCAATTCTCGATTGTCTACGGCAAACCTAGACTAACTTTTCTACCATCCTCATTTAGCTGTTATTAGAAAAGTTGTAAATAATGTAAATTCTAAAACCACATCTGTAGATTTCAACTGCTTTTTTAATTACTCTATTTCCATTAGCAAATTCTCCATCTCTGTATCTTTAAAAGAACTGAATGAAAAAAAAATCTGAATGAAGTATATGTATAAAATAAGAAAACAAAACAAGAGACTTGTAACAAAGATTACTCTTTCCAATAAAAACAAGAGCTATCTAATGCTAGAAATACTATGGGCACCAGAGGTGAACATCTGCTCAAAACTAATACAACCACAGTTACAAACAATAGCAATAAACTTTTACGCATGAATTAAAGAGAGACAAGTTTTTTATGCAGATCGTTTGGTCACCTCAATTCACAAGGCTGAATACATTTATCGACAAGGCTCTATTATAGCACTGACAAATTCAAAACGTTGAATTTTCAAGTATAATTATGTTCTCGAAAGCACAGTCCTGCTCTTAACTAGGAAACAAAATTAGCAGCTTTGAATCAATGCTAAGATTCTTAGTAGTATTTCTGTATTAAAAGAGCAGGGAAAATGTGGTTTGCAATTGCGAAATAAATGAAATGGGACATGAAGATAATCAGGGCCTGAAACAGAAAATAAAGTTTTAAATAACAGCACTAGAAGACTTTAGTTTGAAATTTCAATTCACTGACAATTTAATGGATGCCTACTCCTGGAATTCACCAATCAAATGAAGTTCTGACTAACCATAGAAACAGCTCAACCAATTATACTTCAGTGTAGAATCCACCTATCAAATCCTCCTCACTTATAAAACAAAAGCTTGGCACAGCAACAGCAGCCTTGAAAATCATCCAATGGAGTGTATGTAGACCCTAGATGTCCCCCCCGCCCCCCCCAAGAGATTCTGAGTCAGGTCTGTCGTGGTGCCTAGGAATCTGCACTTTAATCACCCTTAACCCCATGCTCTAATGGAAGAGGTGGTTTTACCGTATTTTGAGACAAACTAAAGAATGCCAACCGTACAATATAAAATAGGTTTACTTAAGTGATTGACATTAATTATTCACATGTACCCAACCAAATTATCTTATTTGTGGGCATTTCCAGTTTTCATCTCAGCATACCACAAATATTTCAAATACATAATAATCCTAAAATAGAATTTCTCAAAGTTCTGATACCCTAGAGCCAAGATTAAATTCAGTATGCTTCCCATTTAAATAGAAATCCCCAATTCCCTTTAGCAAAGGACAAGTCTTCAAATCCTTGTTCCTTTACAAGCTGGCTATCACCTTCAAGCACACCACACCTTTCCTCCCCACTGCCATTTACCACCACTCCCTTCGCCTACGTCATCACACAGTTCTTTAATACTGCCAATGCCCACCCTAGCTACTATGCACTCTCTGCTTGCACCTGCTCCTCAGTTCCAGCAAGACATCTATTCTAACATCCCCTTTACATCAGCCACTTTGGAACTGATTACCAGTAAGACCTTTAGCCATCTTTTTACTGTCCTGCAGCATCCAGAAGCCAATCCAGAGATTGCCTTTTCCCCCATAAACATTATTTTTAGTGCAAGGTTTACAATTAGCAATAATCGTGCCTCGGATAAACCTCATTGGCTATAAGGAGGCCACTGCACAAAGCTTTTTTAGTGCAATGTTTAAAATATTTAAATGGTTTAATAAGAGACAGTATGCTTTGGAGTCAAATGGGTTCAAACTACATTTTCTGTGTGTATGACCTCGAGCAACTTAACCTTGCTGACATCTCAACACTGAGAAAAGGTATCTTGCAGGCTTGTGATTAAATTATCCACACATGTGCAAAGATTTAAACTTACTCTTGATACACAAGAGGTCCAACTCTCTAAGACACTTCCCGACCAGCCACTTTACCTGCAAAGCACCAATAGCTGCACTCTGGAAGCGCAGATCTGTTTTGAAGTCCTGAGCAATTTCTCGCACCAGACGCTGGAAGGGAAGTTTGCGAATCAGAAGTTCAGTGGACTTCTGATAACGTCTAATTTCACGAAGTGCCACAGTACCAGGCCTTAAAAACAGGAAAAAAAAAAAATGTAGACAGTTACCAAGTTCATAAAAAACACAAAAGGATTTAAGCAGCCAGCTTCAAAGAAATGCAGTCATTTCCCAAAAATGCCCAACTTCAGCTTTTGAAACCAATTTCACTCATCAATTTATAACCCAAATATTTAAGCCTATTATAGGGTAATATTATGTCTTTAAGCAAAAAGCATGACATTAAGATTCCGGATAATGCTATAGACTTTATTTATCTTTATCATATACACCACTAAAAAGTACACTAGTGGTGTTTATGTTTGATTTCCCAGAATACCTTTACTCTCTGACCACTGCTCATCCCTCATGATTCTAGATTGTGCAATTATATATGGGAAGTTTTTTTAAAAACTAATTGTCAGCAAGAAACTACCTCAACTGACTTATTTTATTTCTTCCACTGAATGAGATCTTATTTTTTTTTCCAAAGGCTTCCTAAGCACGGACAACTTCTGCCCTCTAATGGCAGATGCCCTTAATAACACTGTTCAGGGTAGTTAAAACGTTTTATAAGAAGGAAACAGACCAAGTGAAGCAAATGAAGGATGGGAACTTTACTGAAACAAAATGTCTTGATTGTTATTATTTTGCCAAAAGCAAGGATATCCTCAAGAGGTATCTACATATAGCACTTTACTATTTAAAAATACATCTTACAGCTACATAAAATGTTAAGCCTATTAACTTTGTATTAGTGATGTAATAGGTTTCCTTTGGGCTATGGGTAAGATTGTGGCTTCAAAATTAAGCACCCTCCCAATAAAAACTAACACTAAATTTTATATAAATTTTCAAGTATTACAGGAAAAACATCAATTTCTCTAAAACAAAAAGTTTGCTTATTTCGCACATCTTTTTGTTAGATTATATAGATACTGTGGTTTGAAGCTTTGTTCCATTATTTTCCTCTCTCTTTTTTAACATATCAAAAAAGAAAGGAAAAAAAGGTCTGTGGATGTGCCTCCCCCTCCCCCAATTCCTGTTATGATTTGATAGCTTCTCCAAACTGGCCATTATTTTCATCTTATTTTTAATACCTGTAACGATGAGGTTTCTTCACCCCTCCAGTAGAGGGCGCACTCTTGCGAGCGGCTTTGGTAGCCAGTTGCTTCCTCGGTGCTTTACCACCGGTCGATTTGCGGGCAGTCTGCTTTGTACGAGCCATGGTATAGGGACCTCTTTACTTACCTACCAGCATCAAAAAACCAAAAACCACCATAAATTACCAAATATACAAGTTTTCCTGCCACTACCACCCCCCCCCCGAAAATCTGGAATATGATCAGCATTAAAAGAAAATGTCGGTAATGTTATATAATTCAAAAGGGTACAGATTACATTTATCACCCAAATGCGATTTCTTGAAACAAACTGTAGTACTAGAAAATTGTTACCACTGAACACCAATCCTCTCTCAAAAATGCCAAACCTGAGCGACAAACGGCAAAACAAAAAGACCCCTAATGGCCTTTGCTCCAATTTCTTTAATTAAAGCAGAAATTAGAAATGTCTGTAAACATTCGACCCATAAACACGTCAAAAGAACCAAGCCACAAACCACAGAAAGATCGAGTCAAATTACAGCAAAAAAGGTTTTAGCCCCCCCCCCCCGCGTCACCCTCCCCCTTGCGTCTGGCAGTTGATAGATTGCTGTAAATATCTGAAAACATTCCTGCGTTAGCATCTCTACAGTTATGTTGACAAAAAGGCCTCTTGAAAAACGAAAAACGAGAGAGGAACAACAGCTACCACCAGCGAGCATTCTACAAAGCACCGTCCTCACAGCAGCCCAACCAGGCTTCCCAATGAGGGAAGGAAAAAAAAAAAAAGTGCCCGCACCCAGGCTTTAATTAACGCACCGGCCGACCGGTCCACCCCAAGCACCACAGAAACTTTTGGTTTCGCCTCCTCCGGCCCCTCGGCTCGGGGTCCCCCAGCCTCCCGCCTCGCTCGCAGCGTCTCGCGCAAGCACAAACTCGGCTTCTAGACCAGAACAAAATGGAAACAATCGCAAAACGTATCCAATTTCCTTCCAAAGAGACAAAACACCAAAACGCTCGAAAATACCCCGATCCCCTGCCACGTGCCGCCCTCCAAAATGCAAAAGTTTTTTTTTTTGTATTTGGGATGCATCAAGTTTCCGCTTCTCCAAAAAAGGAGAAAAAAATGTCCCTCTTCAAAGAATTTTCCTCCTTTTCTGAAATGGGGAAGAGAGAAACGGGGGAAAAAATATGGTCGGTGACCAGGGAAGAGAGACAAGATGGTGAAGCTTAGCAACAACTGTGGGGAGGCAGCAAAAAGCGAGTTACCCCACGGTGGGAAGCGGCGGCGATTTCCACCCTTTTCCCGCCCGAAAACTGGGGGCCGGGGCCCGGGGGCGGTAGTTAAGAGGCCCGCGCGGGTCGTGGTGAAGGTTTGGGGTCCCGGGAAGGGGCGGCGGGCGGGATTTCACCGAAGAAAGAGGAGCCAGGGGCGCGGGGAGGAGGGAGAGCAGGCTCGGCGCCGCGGCGGTTGCTGCTGTTGGGCTGAGGCGGCGAGACTGGGGAGCCGCCGCCGCCTGAGGGGAGAGAGAAACTCGCTCCTCACCTCCATTTCTGGGCCAAAAAGTTTGTGGGTCAAACCGGAGGGGCTGCGGGGCCCCTTCCCGCACCGCCTGGGCCCGGCCCGGGGCTGACGGCAAGCGGGGCTCGGTTCCGGGGAAGCGGGCAGACGGGGAAACTTACCCCCCTTCTCCTTCGGCTGGAGCTCAGCGAGCTGGAGGAGGTGCTGGCGTTAGAGAGCGACGGCGGCTGCGAACACAATTGAAAGATGGCTGACACCGAGGTTATCCCCCAACACACGCCGCCCCGCCCCCGCGCCGCGAGCCAACCAATCACACACAATGGAGGGAAGGCTCGGCCCCGCCCCCGCTTGCGCCCCGCCCCCACCCTTCCCCCCGCACCCCCGTTCGCTGGCGCGCGCTCGCCCCTCCCCCGCGCGTCGTCCGCTCCCTCCTCCCAGTCACCTCGCTCTGTGTGTGTACAAACACAAAAGACGTGCCGAGGGGCCGACGGCTCCCGCCGAGACGGCCACCCGACCCCGTTTTAACTCCAACTCCAGGGCCCCGCACTCCCACCCGGCTCCGTGAGCACACGTCATCAAACTCCCGAAGCCCGGGTTTGGGGCACCGAGGGGCAGGTAGGGGGGGAGGGGAGGGAGGGAAGAGGCGCGGCGGGTGAACGCCCGGCCTGCGGGCGTCTCGGGCCAGGGAGGGGAGAGGGAGGAGGCGCCCCGCTCCCGCGCCGGCCCCGGCGCGCGCCCCCGAGGAGCCCCGGACGGTGTCGGGACGGAGAAGAGGACGCGGCCGTCTGGGTCGCCGCGCCCCAGTTGAAAGCATTCCCCAACAGGAAGCTTGCAAATAGAAGTCTGGTTTACTGCTCCCACTTTCGGGTCGTGCTGCTCTAGCAGCTGGCGGGACGCACAGTCCTCTGCTCGCTTTCGCCCGGGTCCAGGTGCGGCTGGTCCCTCCGCAGACAACTTTATCCGCTCAGACGCCGACCCCGACCCGGGCGGGCCGCCTGGGGCGGGCTTCGGGCTGTTCAGGGGCCGGTGCACTCGCTCTCGGCCACCGGGCACTACCAGCCCCTCTCAGGTAGCCTCTCCAAGGCCGAAGGGACGAAGCTCGCCTTGTTCCCGGGCCGGGTGTCTGATGCAAGATGGCTGTATTTTGTAAGCCTCTTAAAACTGTACACAGCTAGCTGCGCCAGGGCCTGACCAGCAGTCCCGACAGCTTGTCCTCCCCGCCAGTTGGACCTTTTAACTATGTCAGTGTTGCGGTAGAATTAACACATCGGGATAAATGTTGTCAGCTTCTGCATAGTTTAAGTGTCGCGGAAAGAGGCAGAAATAAAGAGAAGAGTGGTTTGGGGATTGTTAGGTTTACCAGTTTTCCAATTCTCAGTAGCATGAGGAGCAGACTTTCCGGCTGAAGTTATGCACGTTATCAGTTCATAACGTGGTCTTGAATACGTGAACCATCCCCCAGGTGGTATTGACAGCTGTGCGTGAAGGTTTTCAGAAGTGTCATGCAGACCACCCATAGGATAGTGAAGGAGTTAGATTTCGTAGATGAAGGGCACTACTTGTAATTTGAAGATCTTAGAAAGCATCTTAGTCATAAACATTATCCTGAAATGGATATATGGAAATGAGGGAGGGAATAGATTTGTCCAAGGTCACTTAAGTGAGAAACCGTCCCGGGAGAAACTAAAAAAGAAATCCAGGCCTGTCTCATTATTATTTAATGAATGTTAAGTGTTCATGGTTGCTGTGCAGTCTGCTAGCTTATCCTAACAGCACATTTGCAAAAAAGCCATGCTTGGGCTGGCCGTGCAGAGCTGCCCATAATTCAGGCCAAGAAGAGGGTTTTTTTGTTTGTTTTGCTTTCTTTTTGTTTTTTTTTTTCTTCAGGATACCAAAATATTTATTGTGTTTATCCAGGATGTCTGTTCTACAGCAATTAAATTCATCCTGTCTTCAAGAAATGTTAAGTACCTGGCTGGTGTAGCTCAGTGGATTGAGCAGGGGCCTGTGAACCAAAGGGTCACTGGTTCGATTCCCAGTCGCACATGCCTGGGTTGCAGGCCAGGTCCCCAGTAGGGGATGCATGAGAGGCAACCACACATTGATGTTTCTCTCCCTCTCTTTCTCTCTCCCTTCCCTCAAAAAAATAAATTTCAAAAAGTTTTTAAAGATTTTAATGAGAGGGAGAGAAATAATCAATGTATGCCTCTCGTGCATCCCCTGCTGGGAACTGGCCTGCAATCCAGGCATGTGTCCTGTCTGGGAATCAAACCTTGGTTGTTTGGTTCTCAGGCCCATGCTCAATCCACTGAGCTACACCAGCCAGGGCATAAATAAAATCTGAAAAAAAAAAAGTTAGGTGTCATGGATGATACTCTTTTTATATGCTAGATTTTTCTATATCTACTATTTTTTAGCTTAAAAATATTTGGGGGGGGTTGCTTTTGTTTATTTATTTTTAGGGAGAGGGAGAAAGAGAGGGAGAGAAACATTAATGTGTGGTTGTCTCTTACGCATCCTCAATGGTTACCTGGCCTGCAACCCAGGCATGGGCCCCGAATGAGAATGAACTGGTGACTCTTTCTTAGGCCGGCACTCAGTCCGCTGAGCCACACCAGCCAGGGCTAAAATATTTTTAAGGAAGGGAAAGACCATTTGACATGAAACACTTCTGATCTTGGATTATCTGGACCAACTCGGCTGTCTGTCAATAACATGGAAGTAATATTTATCTGTGGAGATAGGCCTCAAGTTCTTTCCAGTTGTGGGATCCAGTAGGTGAGCACCTGGGTAGGTGTCTGGTTATCTAGTGGCTTCAGGAAGTTCTCTCACTGAGTGACTATTGAGTGCCAACTATGGGCTAGGCACAATTCTGGGTGCTACTTAAATAAAAGGGGTCAAAACAAGCAACACTTCAGGCTTCTTGGAGCCTGTGATCTCTGGAAGCATTGCCTTGTACAGGGAAGCAGCATTTGGACCAGGGGACAGGAGGGAAAGTCCTTCGGAGCCCCAAGACTGGCAAAAACTGTCGCTCAGGGGACAGAGGACTTCGAGTCCAGATGATGGGGAGAAAAGAACTGCCAGGGTCAAAAGGGATTCTCGAGGGGTGCCAGAATCATTTCTGAATTGCCTCTGTTTCTAGAACTCTTGAGCTAAGAATGGCCTCAAAATTTGGAGTTTAAAAAAAAAAGAGGATGGGAACAACAGCTTTTACGTTATAACATTTTTCTTAGCATAGAACGCTGATGGCCACTAACTTCGATTTGTCTATAAGTAAAAGTTTTCCAAAGTGCAATGGGATGGATTTTAGAAGCATCATTTTAGCCTTGGCTGGCGTAGCTCAGTGGATTGAGCGCAGGCCTGTGAACCAAAGGCTCATGGTTTGATTCCCAGTCAGGGCACATGTCTGGGTTGCAGGCCAGTTCCTAGCAAGGGACACATGACAGGCAACCATGCATTGATATTTATCTCCCACTCTCATTCCCTTCTCCTCTAAAGAGAAATAAATTAAAACCTTAAAAAAAAAAAAGCACCATTTTAGTCGGCGATATCGCTTGGCTCCTGAGTCAGTCAAAATGCAAAGATTGTTGCCTCACGGAGCTGCTTTTCTGTACACTCTCCCCGTGCCCACGATGATGTCACTCTTTTTCCTTTATCACATTGGCTTAAGTCTATCATATTGGTTGTTTTCAAATTTATTTTTTAATTTTTCAACTACAGCTGACATACAATGTATTAGTTTCAGGCGTACAGCATTAGTGATCAAACATTTCTGTAACTTGTGAAATGGTCATCCTGATGATCACATGTTTGCTTGTTTGTTATCGGTCTCTCCCCCAAGGGATGTGCAGTCTAGGACAGTAGTGGCCTTACCTGTTTCTCTCCACTGGTTTCACACTGCCGCCCTCGCTCCACACCCAGTGTGGGGCCTTTCCCAGTTACGCTGTTCCTTCTTATTAGGTGAACTCATTCAGTTCCGTGGCAGTTGTCAAAGGGATGTGACCAAAGGGTAGAGAATAATATAGTGAACCCCTAGGTACCCATCACCTAGCTTCAAAATGATCAACTTCTGGCCATCTGTACTCCACTCACCCCCGCTACCTCCCCCACTTGAATTATTTTTAAGCAAATCCCAGACTTTTAAAGTCCTTTTGTTGGTAGATATTTGAGAATCATAGGAACCAAATAAATGGTTGATAAGCCTATTAAATCTCTTATTATCTGTAGGTTCTCTCTTTATTGGCACTTTGTTAAAAAATATGTCCTGAGCCTTTGGAGTCCAGTCCTCTCTCCGAAACTGCCCCTCCTTCAGCCTTACCCAGTAAATGGCGTTATGATTTATTCAACTGCTCAAACCAAAAGCACCTTCCTCAGGCCTCCCTCTCACTCCTGTAGTCCTCTGGGCCCTACCTCGGAAAAGCATCTCAGAATGACCTACTCCTCCCCACCTCTCACCTGCGCCCCCAGTCACTTCCTGTTTGGCTCCAGTCCACCCCTGTGCCTCAGTGTTCTCTACCGCAGCACAGTGTAAATCAGATGAAGTCCCACCCTTGCTTAAATCCAAACAGTGCTCATCCACTGCCCTGGGTTACAATTGGTCCTTGCAGGACCTGGCATCACACCTGCCCTCACATGGCACTGCAGTGCTGTCCCCCAGCTTTTCGTAGGGTTGGCTCAGTCGTCTTCTGGGGTAACATCCCCCACTTCTCCATGTCTTTTTACTCTTGGGAGATGATCTGATTTATAAGGCACAACCGAGGAAAGTGGAGGGGATTCGAAGCCATGCCTGTGGAACCTGATTAAGAATTTCATTACATATTTTTATATTATAGAATTACTATAAGGGAAAGCATGTTTTAAGGAAGATGTTAATATGAAATTTCTGTAAAATTCCAGGAAAAAAAATGTCTTCAAAGGTTTGAATGAGAGATGTTGAGCTTATATCCATGAACATAATTGTTTATATCAGGTTTTATATTTGAGATGGCCATATGCCATTCCTGATTAAGACTTTATAATGACAAACTCTACAAATTCCTGATGATCTAATCATTGAAAAACTTTGTTCATGCATGTAGGCGATAAAAAATTCAAAATGAGTGTTTTTCATTCTTCAAAAATATAACAGTTGAAGTTATATATTGAAAATTCTTTCCATTTTTGTTAAAAGATTTTATTTATTTATCTTTAGAGGGAAAGAGAAGGAGAGAGGGAGAGAAACATCAGTGTATGGCTGCCTCTTGTGGTCCCCCGACTTGGCCCACA